TCTATCTATCTATCTATCTATCTATCTATCTATCTATCTATCTATCTATCTATCTGTCTATCTATGTATCTATCTATCTATCTATCTATCTATCTATCTATCTATCTGTCTATCTATCCATCTCTATCTATCTATCTATCTATCTATCTATCTATCTATCTATCTATCTATCTATCTATCTCCCACAGATACACAAAAGAAACGTTTGTATGTCGCCTCATTAATTCATTTCCCCTCATCCGTCTTGTAACAAACCTCTCGTGTTTCGTTATTGGAGAGTGCTCGGGGCCGTGACTAATGACACGATTAGGGAGAGACAAAAGCAGTTCCGAGAACTCTTGATTGTCTCATAGGGCTTGATCAGTGTCTTTATACAATGGAAATATTGGGTAAAAGGATTAGAGGTCGATCAAGAATAATTTACTTAGAGAGCGATGGAGAGCGATGGATGGGTGACAGACAAAGACAAGGATGGTATTGAAAAATAATGTACAGTGGTTGTTGTTGTTATTGTTGTTCCTGTTTTTGGCGTTCTTGTTGTTGATGTTGATGTTGTTGTTGTTGTCGTTGTCGTTGTGTTGTTGTTGTTGTTGTTGTTGTTGTTGTTATTGTTGTTGTTGTTGTGTTGTTGTTGCTTCTGTTGTTGTTGTTGTTGTTTTCTTTAGAGCATCCAAGAAGAAAAATGAATAACAAACCATGATTACCGATTTCCTTAACGGATCTTTGAAGATGAAGCAGATATATGTGAGGCAGCGCGGTGGAATCAGGCTCTCGTCAAAATAATCAAAGTGAAGAAACTTGCATTTTTCCCAAGGTTTGAATTTTTATCAAATTTTTGTTTTTTGGCTCAACACTTTTCATGCCCATTAAAGAACTCATTTCTGTGTAGATTTTTCTGAAAAAATTTGAAGAAAGGCACAAAAATGTAAATTTTCAGTTACCACGGACTCTCAAGCTAAGGAAATAGCTAATCTTTGGCGACTATTTTCTCACTAATTTTACCTCTGAAAACAGGTGACCCCCACCTTCTTCTTTTGCAGATATCTCGACTTGTATTCAAGATAAATGTATATTTTTTCATCCAAATAAAGACAAGTGAATAAACTTTAAGGTGATACCAATAACTCTACCTGCCCAAAAATTGACGAGAGCCTGATTCCACCACGCTGCCTCACATATACACTTGATGACAGTTTTGTTCTGTTTGGTTTTGTTCGTTGTGGGGCCAAAATGCACAAAAAATATCCACGTAAAGGACATTGTCATTTCAAAATTGCAAGTTGCAGAGTCTCACTTTTAGGGGGTGGAAGGGGGGGGGGGTCTGGTTGTTTGGTTGGGGGTTTTTTTTTCTCTTTTTGTCCCGATAAGCAAAACGGCGTTAGGACGTTTCTAGTTGTTTTGTCCGTATACTTAAGGAAACCACAAGAACTGCATCATCCCACAAGTGTCTGCGGTGTAGCGGTTTGGCGTTTCACTGTCGTACGCATGTGACCCGGGTTCGAATCTAAATTTACACCGTGGGTGGTTGGTGGGTGCTCAGGTGTGGTTTGCTTCTTCTTTCCTATCAAACATATTATTGTGTCGTCATTATCTCCCCTCCTTCTTTTTTGTTGTTTGTTACTCTCTTGTAACACCTCTAATTTTCGGCACTTATACGACCTTATTGGTTTGCAAGTGCCGTAAAACAGTCACTAAAACTTAAACTAAATTTACGCCTCCCAAAAAAACTAACATTTTATAAAGATAAATTCCCTTGAGTTGTCAGCTTGCTACCTCAGAAGTACAAAGTTGTATCTGCTCAGTGCCTAGTTTTGAGAAATGTGACGTCAAAGATGTTCAATTTCACAATAAATCAAGCTTTTTCGAATGCAATTTGTTTGAATATCTTGATAACTACTCAGAATAATCTGACAATTGTAATAGATCTAGAGCAAAAAGAACATAATTTGGTTTTTGATCTCATGTTTTTAACAACTCAAAACGGCGCCAAAAAAATGTCAGATCGAACTTTGTATTTTTGTCATTCTGAGGTAGCGAGCTACTGAGGCCAGAGATGTTGGATGTGGCTGGGTATTAGACTGATAAAACTTGTTTTGTTTTGTTGTTTCTTTTTGTTTTTTGGGGTGTTTGTTTTTGTTGGGAGTTTTTTTTTTCTGTGCGTAATCAATAAGAATTATCGACTCGAACGCGGGGCTTTCAGATAATGAACAAATCGATGACAAAATTGGCGGAGGAAGGTCATCAGTGAGCGGTGGAAATGTCGGAACAGAGGACATATTTCTGGGAGGTTTG